CCTATTTAGTCTTAATCCACTCCTTCCACTTCCCTAAAAACACATAAAAGGATTTTCCATGGGGAATGGTCCATCCACAGGGAATGTAGTTTAAATCATCCTACCACAAGAGCTAAGATTTCAAATAGGTAAACCATCAGTTAGGCTTTGATTCTCCCCTTGTCTTCAATGTTATAAGTGAGAGGAGAATCTGCTCTTTAATTCTGTGTGTACAGCAAACTTTAATCATCTACCATATTGATTCTTCAGACTGCACTGCTGGTTTTTCCAAGTCAGCTACTTGGAAAGTCTCATGATGATCTCCCTTATGCTCGTTTTACATCAGTATAGCTCTATTAACTTCAGGGGAGTTACTTCTGATTTACACCAGCGTGAGATAAGAATCATGTGCAGAGTCTCTGCCTAGAAGAATTTACAATCGAAGGGTCAGATTCTGCCCCCTTTATTCACACTGATGGGATACTATTTATAATGAGTAAAGGCAGGAGAATCTGGACCTAAATGAAGACCTGGATCACAGGAGGAGATGAAAATGTCAAAGTCAGATTCAAGACTCACTGAATTTGTCAGACCAGTCTGTTTATTAGCAAAGCGCTTTGCCAATGCACCCAGATATATGTGAGCCTTCTGCAAAAGCTCAAGCTAACTTATTTATACAGATAAGCCAAGGCCAATTTAACATAGGAGACAAAAGGAAGCAGAAACTGACAAATATACATACATATCTTATTTGCATACTAACGTTTACCAATCTCCTAGCTCAGTAGGAGCTCGAAGTTAATTAGTTTGAGGTCCCATTGTCTCACACTCCTCAATGTTTCTCTTCCTGACAACTATATTTCAACAAACTCTTCAAGCAGCATTTCTTTAATGAATTATAATTTCAATATAATTCATTCTACTTTCACAAAAACCAAAGGGAAGAGCTGAGGGAGGAAATACTAGCGTGATAACAATAAGATCATGTGGTGATTTAGAGAAGTTTTATTTGCTTGTTAACTTTTTTTTTTTAAATAGAGACTAATATCTAACATATGCCCCTCTGTTTGTACACGTCCTTTTTTACTCATTGAACTTACTAACAATGAAGGAGACTGTACTGTCCTTGTGATTTTCCACTTAGGTAGCAAGGCCCAAATACTCCAAAAATCCACATTACTGATGTTAATTAACTGTTTCTGCTCTCAGGAAAAGAGAGCTGAATGCCAACTGGTGCATTCAGCACTGAGACAGGCAGACCCATGATGGCTTACCAGAGGGAAGACTCATGGATTTCAGCACTCCATTTTACTAAATTTGAGAACTCCTTTTAAATTTGATCTCTGAAAATGTGTTTTCTGCAGTGTGTATCTTAATCTGCCATCAGGAGCAGGGGCTGGCTACTGGGCCTTAAAAATTGTAGATTGTTTTCCTTCCAGGGAGAGATCTCTTGAAGTAGACAATAATTTCTTTGAAAGTTTTGGACCACCGTGGGCTTTAAAAAACAACCTGCTCCAACACTCTTCATACTCTGGCCAGTAAATGATGGGCTAGAAACACTGCCATTTAAATAGCAGATGATAACAATGTTAAGGGGTTTCTTTTTATTATGTAAATTTAGTCCAATTTATAAAACTTCACAAATTTTTCAGCTGTTACAAAATCTTACACATTCATCAGCTCCATAAAAAATATGTGCCATCATGCACAGGGAAGTAAAGCTTGTACCTATGAACATAAAAACCTACCACTAGGTGAAAATATTCAAACACAGTCATTAATCTTTAGCCTGCATGAATCAGAAACATTCATGGAGTTGAAAACTCAAATAGTATTTCTGCAGTGAAAGGAGTAGTTACATGGTTCATTTATTTTTAGACAAAGTACAAGGCCATCTAATATTGCAAAAATATACATTGAATTTGAGGTAACTTATGATGTTTTAATATATTTTGATTGTTTTGATTGTGCTTTAACATTTCTGTTTTAATAGTTCGTCTTGGATCAAACAGCATATTGGGCAAGCCACAGTTCAGCACTTCAAAAAATTAGAAGGGGATTAATGCCTTCTAATTCTTTATGCTCTGAATTGCCCTCCATCTTGCCCTAGCATTAGATATGCAATTACTCTATACAATTCTGTAAACTACTGCTTCACTGATCTACTGAACCATGTAGATAGAATCAAGTTAATGTCATTGTAAATACAGAGAGAGGAAATCCACCATTAGAAAATGTAAGAGTGAAACTGAGCCACCCATGTGAAAATGAAACAAATATGAATTACACAATCGCTAACAATACTCATTGTTGATATGTTTCTCTTTGCAGGTTCACACAAGTCCATTATCAATGCTGTGGATCAGCCAGGGCATCAAGATGGCTTTTTAAAAATCTGTTTTTCTCTCTGCCACAGTAACTGACTAATCTTGCAAAATGCTTGCAACACCCACTGACTTCAATGGGAGTTGAAGGCATTTTATCAGCTTGCAGAAAGTGCTCTGCACCTCAAAGGATTAGATCATCTGTCTGCAAAAACTGGGTATGGATTATTGGATTATTTATGGACTTTTGTTCACAGACGCATTCAATGCTGAAATAGTTACCATAGGGACAACCACATCTTGTATGACTCCAGTGCTCATGATGCAGATCCCAGAGCATGACAACTATATTGTTCATATACACACACTTTGCAGCACATTCATCCCTTTCCATAAACTAAAAACAGCAATTTCATGAGTACTGCTGACATCTGGTGGCTAATTGCAACTGCAACAATTATACACATTCCTAACAGTAGACATGCCTTCAATTAGTCAGCTACACATTGGCTGAGTTTATGTTAACCCCCCCTCCCCAAAATACCTTTACTCAAAATGGAGACTCTGAATCAGATGTTAAGCCTGGATGGTAAACACTTGCAGGGTTTTTGTTTTGGTTTCATTCAGTCAGAAAGATGGAGGGTTAAAAGGTTTAGGGCCCAATGTTGCAGACTCTTACTCACATAAATAGGCCTTTCACGCACACAAGGCAGATGTCATAGGTCACATGGGCTGATTTTTTTAGGGGCACTTCTGGCCCAACCCCTCTCACCAAAGGTTTTTTTCTACCCCTTTAAAGGCACCCCACATCATAAGCTGGGACCAGGAGCCAAAACACCAATGCAGCTCCAGCCCAGTCACCTCCCTAGGACAGCTTTTGGGGATAGGGGTTCCTAGGATAGGCAGATGTCCAGCTCCAGCCCTACTCCTAGGTTTCCATTAATTTCAAAGGGCCTGCTTAAGTATGCATTGCAAAATTAGGTCCTTATTTCCTGAATTAGTTTGGAATTTGAAATGCTACCCTGGCCCAACTAAAATAAATGGTAAAACTATGGTGTGGAATCTTGTCCGGGGGCAGAACAGCCCCACAAATATACCCTCCAATCAGAATGCCTGAAAATGTATGTGTATTTGTGTGAGTGTATGAGAGTGAGTAAGGGGGAGATCAGAGATGAGAACATCCTTACCCCTCCCATTTCTATCTCTCGCTATGATTACATCAGTGTTGTAAGCAAAAGAGTCTCACCCTGCTCATGTTTTTGGTGTCGGCTCCATAAGATTCTGGAGAGAAATACTGAAATATAAAATCAGTCTTCATAACTATTCGATTTTGGTTCTTAGGGGTTTCTTTCCTGCAGCCATGGGATTTTTCCAATTACTATAGTTGGAGTTGCAGTGAGGACTCTGTTTAAATTATTATGGTTCAGACACCAGGTTACACTGCAAATTAACACCAGTTGTTTCTGCAAGCTTTTTTTTTTTTTTGGAACCATCCTTGGCCACACACTGTCATAAAGAACTTCTCTCCTAAATTATACAAATTACCTGGATGCACATCTTAGCAGTCAGGGCATACAAGCAAAAAATATATCTCCAGCCAACCATTGACAGCAACAGCAACTTAAACAAAATGTCAAGTATCAGGGGGCAGCTGTGTTAGTCTGTATCCACAAAAACAACAAAGAGTCCGGTGGCACCTTAATGACTAACAGATTTATTTGGGCATAAACTTTCATGGGTGGAAAACCCATTTCTTCAGATGCATGGAGTGAAAATTACAGATGCAGGCATTGTTATGCTGACACATGAAGAGACGGGAGTTACCTCACAAGTGGAGAACCAGTGTTGACAGAGCCAATACAATCAGGGTGGATGTAGTTCACTCCCAAAACCAAAATGGTACTCTAAAAGCAGGCAGATTACAGACTGGTGAGGCAGTATGGGGAAGCTCACATACATACCTGGTCAAAAATTTTCATTGGACAAAAAATGGGGCTTTTGTCTAAAAGCAAATTTCCACATGAAATGGCTATTTTTGAAGAAATTGGTTGAGTTTCTCTTGGAAAGCAAAGAACTGCAAACTCCAGCAACCAAAACCTAAAACATTTCAGTTAGTCAGACTAGTTTCCACTAAAATAAAAAAATGTTGCTCGACTGCCCCAAAGTTTTTGGCTTTATGTTGCTGAAAACTGATCTGTTAAAAACCAAAACCCAGGGAAAAAAGTTTTGCAGTGAAAACCTGAACAATTTTGTAGAAAAGTTTCAATCCAATGATTTTCTTCCCTACACTTGTCAACATTTTTCATGGAGAAAGAAATCACTTCCCAACCAGCTCTGTTGCCCACCTTTCTGTAACACAGGAAAATAGCGGAGTTCAGTCTCCAGGCCTGTGGACTTGGAATGTTGACAAGCCCTGACTTCATCTGAAAATATTTTAAATTAAAACATTATAAATCACAATCCAATTTGACAGCTTCCCCAACTATTTTACAAATAACACTTCTGTAGCAGTGGACACAGTCAACTAACCAAAAGCAACTAGAATGCAGACAAGTAACCAGCGTGGTCAGATGAAAACATAATGATTGCACAGAGCTATTTTTCATTGGTGCCCTGAGTGCCACGGATTGACAGTGCTAACTAACAGGAAGAAGAGATTGTAAACCAATAGGGGAACGCTTTTGTATGACCAATCAAAAGCTGTCTTGCACAGCCTTTTTAGAAAACTGAGGCTTGAGATGGTAGCCTTCTCGTCTGCCTGCCTACTACTCCAAGCCGCACGGAGCCTGTGCGTTCGGTGCAGACCGTGCCATAGGCTAGCGAGAAGGAGATCGGCGTCACTAAGAAGAATTACAGGCTGCTAGGTTTGCCTGCGTTACTTGCTAGCTGGAAGTTGCCTGCTCATGTAATGCACTCACTGACTCAGGAAATCAGAAACTTCTCCAGGAAAAATCTTAAGAAGCAATGCACAAGGGTAACAACTTTAACGGGGAAGAGGATTACAGAGACATGGAAAGATGCCCGAATGCAGGTGGTGGAAGAAGCAGAGCCAAGTGATGGGTTCGGTTGTGGTTACGTTCAGGACCTTAGCTTGGACCTGCAGGTTGGCGTTATTAAGCCCTGGTTGCTGCTAGGTGAGTGACCGTTTGAATTTAAATTTGCATCCCTGTTAAATGCCTGCTCCTGCACGGTCCTGAGCACCAGCCAGGGGTGCTTAGCTCCCACGAAAGTCAGTTGGAGTTGACGCCGATGCACATGTTCCATAGAGTGCTCAGGACCATTCAGGATCAGGTTCCAAGAGAGTACTATCTTTGCATTCACACTGAAATATGACTTTCTTTATGCTTGCCCTCTTGTGTTTCTGCTCAGGTTGTTTTATCCGGTTAAGCAGATGGAAAGTTGGATTTATTAAACTCGGATGAGAAGTCACTATTCACAGTCTAAACATATTTAGATTGCATTATTAAAATAACTCATTTTCCCCAGGGGGAAACAAATAACTAACTTGTTTTAAAATTAAGTAGGATATTTGCTTTGTCTGTTTATATTTTGACAGCTCTATGAAAATAGTGTGATAATGAGTCCCTTCTCTTTACAGGCTCACAAGATGCTGCTCAGGATCTGGAGACAATGAAAAAATATGGGGTAACGAACTGCCTAATAATGACTATAGACTGTCTTCTATTTAACACTTGCTAGTGAGAATGCTTTTTTAATCATTAGAGAATGTTAGTTTTCTGACTTTTCCCTTTAAAAATGTTATATCTAGTTTAATGAGGTTGCTACTCAAAAGCTTGCATCTGATCCATGCATACAGTCGTGATGGGTGTTTGTGGGTTTCACAAGAAACATGAAATGTCAAGGTTAGCTGTTGTTTAAAGTTTGATTTATTATAGAACAGATTATATGCATCTCAAACTGTGTTTTCATCAGTCCTCAGATACTAAGCAGGGTCAATGAGCCGGCTCAGTGTTCATATGGGAGATATTCAAGTGGGGGGGGAAAGGGGGGGATGGGACACATATGGTCCTGAATCTTTCCCCAACTTTGGTCCCTTTCTAGGTCTCTGGTGGTCTAATGAGAGTGAATGTACTCCAGGGGGCATTCCCCTGCTGCAGGGCAATACCCTGGCAGTATAGGGACTGTATGGATAACCTTCTGCCACCTTGCCATAACTTAGAGTAGTCTCCAGCCAGGCCAGAATTCAGACAGTGCAAAAATGGCATAAGGCCACCTTTTCCCTGTCCTGCCTAGTCTGTACCTGCTGCACCATGAGGCTCCATGCTCCAGTAAGCAATGCTGGTGACTCAATAAGTGCACTGTTAACCAGTTCTCCAATGTCCCAGCATAAATCTAGGAGATAGTTTGCTGATGGAGGTGTTGCCTCCTCAGCTGTAGGGCTGGCTAATCTATTTGGAGCACCCAATACATTTATACTCTTATCCCTCTAATTTTTTTTCTATTCTTCTCCTGTGCTCTGCTATCCCCCTCTTTTGTTTAAAACCCTTACGCTAGCTGGTGTAGTTAGGGTGAGGGCAACAGATATTCTCTCTCCATCCCCTGCCGAACAGATATTCTCTCTTCATCCCTGTGTGGGGAAGCAGTAGCTCTTCCATTATATGATTCAGCATGAGGGTGAAGGCCTATTGGCCAGATCTTTCCCCAGAGTGCCTAATATTGCTAGCAGGCAAAGGTCTGGTAGAGCACCAGTCAGCGCACCCAGGGAGCAGAAGACCCTCACAGCCTTAATTTAATTTGGGCCCCTCTCCACATTCAGCTGGGATGTTTTTGCCTAATCATAGTCATTCAAGATCCCATGGCTCCTTTCTACAAGGTGTCAGTCTTGCCAAATTCAGTTTGGTTATTCAGATTCTACTAGCCTAAAAATTCCCTTAGTAGTTTATTGGATATGGAATTCTTCATATTATTTCATTATCTGTTACATACTGTGGCTATGCACTATTAAATAGTAGGCTCATTCCACCCCAGAGGTGGCTATGTGATAAGTGAGGGGATTCCTATAAGTAGTTTGCAAAGGATTTTGGGTGCCTTCTTTATGAAAGGAAATAGATAACCTAAGATGCAGACTTTAACCTGTAGCAACAACAACTTCTCAAAGGTTCATTTTCAGAAGTTTTCTACTTGAAACATCATCATTACCTTAATGCGTAATTCTTCTTTTGTTAAGATGGACTGAAGAAAATTGAAATGCCACTTTATACATTTTAACACTTGACTATCTTTTTGAATCCACTTAAGATTTTATCAAGTCAGAAACACAGACAGAATGTCTGAATAAAATTGAGTACTACTATTTGATGTTCCAACTGATGTCCGCTTAATGGATAATGCTATTTTTGTTCTTGTCCATTTTGCTTGTTGTCTTCATAAACTACCTTTTTTTGGCTTAGGTTACTCATGTCCTAAATGTGGCATATGGAGTTGAAAATGCCTTCCCCAATGACTTTATATACAAGAACATTTCTATACTGGATCTCCCTGAGACTGACATCACATCGTATTTCCCAGAATGTTTTGAGTTTATTGAGCAAGCCAAGATGCTGGTAAATCAATATTTCATAGTATTAGTTATCCTGGGTATGTGGCAATAACTTAATACAGTTTCCTTTGGTTAAAAAAAAACCCAACAACCATCAATCATGCTTTTCTTAGAGTGATCAAATATTATTTACTGTTATCTACTTTTTTTTTTTTTTTGGTGCAGTATTTCTTAATTTGATCTAGAGGAATAAGTGACTTTTTGATAAGCAAGTCTTAACATAGGTCCAGATCCCTCTTCTAGGAGTAAAACCTGCAGGGGAAAAAATAAAGCTCTATAAGCTTCCCATTGTAGAGTTTCCAGAATTCATCCACTAGGGAGGCAGTGTTTTGACATACCAGAGAAGAAGCAGGGAGTTTGGCAGTGCCCCTGGAAATCAGTAGGGTTTTGCTGGCTTCTTCCAGTTGTCAGGGATACTTCAGCCTGTTACTGTCCCTTGAACCCTCCCTTAAAGGTGAAACACACTAAACTATGAATTCAAGATAAAAATAGTTAGAGCACACGTTAGTAACTGCAAACCATCCCTGTTCAGCAAATATTTACTGAACAGGGATAGACATAAGCTTGTGTTTAACTGCTTTACTGAATCAGTGTCTAACTGCATGTCAAAATTCCTGTAAAAGAACAAAAGTAGGAAATGGGACAAAACTCTCAGGGCTGCACGGCAGCTTTCATTTCTGATATTCTGTTCTGTGTACATGCACTAAACTGATCTCAGTTCTGATTTCCTGGTCTCACATTCTGTAGAAATGAGATCTACGAAGCAAGTCTGGGAACAGAATTTTGCTCTGTTTTAGGTTGATTCCTTTTTCTACAAGAATTCAGGCAATGTCAGGGTAGAGAGGGGGGAAAAAAAAGATTTTGCATCTCATGCCAGAACTATTAAAAAGCGTGGTAGGCTCTACAGATAATCAAAGTCCTCTCTGTCTGTTACATGTTGAAGTGCAAGAAGAGAAAATGCCTTGCCAGTCAAACCTGGTTCTGGATTATTCCACCAGATCTATCATGTTCATTATTTACATAGCTTAGGATAAAGGAAGGTAACATTGCCCCATCCACTTTTGTGTCACATAGTGTTCTTTCTTTCTGACATATCCTTTACAAGTTACCTGAAACAGGGTTTCACTTAATGACCTCCTTCAGGTTTCCAGTTACGATTTCCATTTCATTCTTAAATGAGACTTGCCAGCTTAGTGTCACTGCTCCACTTCAGAAGTTAATTTTCCGGTTACTTCTCTATAGTCAGCGGTATTCTTATAAAGCCTTTCATGGCAATACTAATATTTCTATACTGCAAGATGTTTGTGTGCTAGACTGCCAGGAGATTAGGTTTTGATTAGATTAGAACAGTGGTCACCAACCGGTCAATCGCGATCGACTGGATGATCCTAGAGGATCTCCCAGTTGATTGTGATCTCCGGTGGTAGCTCAGTGTGGCAAGTGCTTAGGCTACCCCAGCCCCGCACTGCTCCCAGAAGTGGCCACTGCGGCTCTGTGGCCCCGGGGGGCGGGGAGGGTGGCAGGGGTTTCCCTCGATGCGCTGCTCCTGCCTGCAAGCACTGCCCCCGCAGCTCCCATTGGCCGTGCTTGCGGAGAGGGGCGGCGTGTGGAGCCATGTGCCCCCCGCCCTCCCCACCCCAGGGGCCGCAGGGGCTTGTTGGCCCCTTCCAGGAGCGGTGTGTGGCCGGGGTAGGCAGGGAGCCTGTCTTAACCTTGCTGTGTCCGCCACTGACCGGGAGCCACCGGAGATAAGTGCTGCCCAGTGGGAGGCTGTACCCTAACCCCCATTCCTGAGACCCCTTCCGGAGCCAGCACCCCGTGCCCCCTTCTGCACCCCAAACCTCCTCCTGCACCCCAACCCCCTTCCCCAGGCTCAGCTCAGATCCCCTTCTCACACTGTGAACCCCTCAGCCCCAGCACTGCTCCCCCAAACACCAACCCCCTGCCCAGGCCTGATGAAAGTGAATGAGGGTGGGGGAGAGCGACCGACAGAGAGATGGGCAGATGGAGTGAGCAGGGCAGGGTTTTGGGGATGGGGCGGGGTAGATCATGAGTTGCCCTTAGATTCAAAAAGTGATCTTGGGTGTAAAAAGGTTGGAGACCACTGGATTAGAATAAACTGTGGTCCATGGAGCACTTGCTGGTAGTCTGCAGAGAGCTGGCTGGTCACATGGTGCTGGATCCTCCTATTTTTAGCAGCAAAACAGCACTGAGAGATAGCTAAAATATGTTAGAAACTCTCATATTATTACTTTTCTAAATAAGCAATTGCTGTAATTGCTAAGGAATTATTGTTTGGTCACCTGCGGGAGGGGAGATTAATGGGAGCCTTAATGAAGGGGAATGTGGACCATGAGGAACTCTGTGTTAAAATTCAGTAGACACTGGGAAAAGGTTAAGAATTTCTGGATTAGAGAATATAAACAAACACTGCACTGTTCATAAATTCACTGACAGCTAGTAAGAAAGGACTGAGTGTCCCAAACTAACAACCACTGAGGTCTATTGTGTTCTTGGTTCAAATGGGATCAGATTATCAAGAGACTTCAGCATCCATAGCTGGGGTAGATTTTTCAAGAGCTCAACTCCCAACTAGGTACTGAAGTAAGTGAGCAGACTTTCAAAAGCACATTAGGTGACCCATGTAAAGTCCATCCTTTGATTAAATGGTGATAGGACTTAATTGAAATGTCTTTGTGTGATTATTTTTATTTAATAACTACTATGTATAACTTTAAATTTATTAGCCCAGATCAGTCCTGTCCTGCAGGGGTCTTGGGGAGGAGATTTCAGCCATGGTTTCCTCGTGAAGATCTCTCCACATTGTTGCATTGGGGAGGTACATTCCCTGCAAGAAAAAGGTAGTGAGTCATAATTCAATGCAACTGTACCTGTATTTCCCCTTTGCAATCCAGCAAGGGCATCTAGTAAAGGCTCCTGGCTCCTTAGCTGTTACTTCTCTTGGGTAGGAATCCATTTTTCTCTCCCTCCTGACCAGAGTTTTTCCAGACAGCACAGTTTCCTGCCTACGTGGTGAGTTCCCCAGCAAGCCAGTTTGCCTAAACAGGTCTGCTTTGCTTTCTCCTCAGAGGCTATAAACAGTGTAATTGCTCACAGTTAGAAGTTACCACATGGCCCTTTCTAGGTAAGCATGTTTATTCTAAAGGTGAAAGCATTACTGAGAAAATATATTAAAAACAGGAAAAGAACCTATATGAATGCCAATAAACACACCAGATAAAATCCCAGCTGTAACAAGGGCTCTGGCAGGTACCATCCATGTAATCCTTCAAATCTTACCAAGGGATTTTTCTGTTGTTGCAGTTCATAGCAACTCTTAGCTCAGAACAAGCACACCAATAAATCATTGATTCTCTCCTTCATACGTTTGGGCCTTGATCTTGTCCTCATGTAACAGGTGATCAGGTCTGTCACAGTTTCAGGACAAAGCACTTCAGGGAGAAGCTTCAAAGGGCTGTGTTCATGTATAACTGGAGTGGATACATTTGCATAAACCTCCCCTTAGAGGTCACCTAGGAAACCCCTTTTAACTTTCTTTGTCCCAAAAGTTTTGTTCTTGTCTGCCACATATTTACAATTGTACTTCCAGGGTTTACCCTGACCATGTCTCCCCCTAGAGAAGTTACATACAATCCCACAATAGTACATAAACTTTGTATTTATAATACAATGGACTCCAAAGCTATGCAAACTTAATTGAGTAAGATCTCCCAAAGATATTTCAGAAAATTGCCTTATCTGTCATATGAGAGGACCCACCCCCAGACATGGTAGTTCTCCAGGGATCTATCATAAGCCATGTAGAGTCCCTATGCCTTTGTCCCAGCTTCTCATCCCCAGTAAAGCCACCACCTCCAGCTGCCTGGCCCGAAGATACATGTGGAACCATAGCTGAAAGGAGCAATCCGTGCTTTCCTAGTTGAAAAATTCCAAGGAAATTCAGCAGTGAAAATTGCGGTGTTTGCAGTCTCTTACATAGGTTATTCTGGGTTAGGAGAGAACTGGGCTGAAAGGAACATGGGATTGTACCCTTATAAACCAGTTCAGATTGCAGATATGAATTGTTCTGTTTTTCACATTTATGCTGCATTCCCGTGGAATGCAAAATTAATAAGACTAATGTGCCAAGTTCAAACAAGCTGTAGAGTTATAGCAAGGAAGAATAAGGTGGCCCATCATGAAATGTGGGTTATTGATTTTGCATAGGTTTGTTCATATTTAATAGTTCTTGGTTCTAGTCTAGGCATGTAGCCATCTGATTTGTTGCAGTATGCAGCATAGCTCTCATGAAAAGGAAACTGCATAGCAACACTAGAGTATTAGCACAAAAAAGAAGAAACTGAATCCCTTCAATGATGCATCAGTTAAATGCAGACTCTAAAGAAATTACAGTGATTTAGCAAAAATTAATCTGATTTTTTGTTTCTATTTTTGGTTTATATTTTTACCCCTTTTCATTGTTTATTTTTACCAACTTAATTCCTGATAACTTCCTCAAAGCCTTGTGTTAGATAGTGATCTCAGTTACACTGGTGTAGATCTGGAATAACTCCACTAAATCAATAAAATTACTCCTAATTTACAGTGGTGTAACTGAGACCAGAATGTGGCCTATTGGTTTTTAGTGTTTAATTTGAATTGTGACTGGGCACACTGGAACAGAAAACAACTGTTTTATTAGCAATAAAATAAATGTAGGTTTTAAAATCTCATAAAATCTTTCTTAAAGAGCAATCTTATATATGTTTTGCCATTGACATTCTCACAGTGCGTTTAAATGTATATCTTTTAAAAATAGCTGCTCGCTACAGTGCATGACCAGGAAGTGAACTCCTCTGAATATGAAAAAGTTAATCAAGACTGTAAACAATGTAAAGAGGATGTGCATTTTGTTGGGAGGAAGAATGGTCTTGGAGTTAAGGCAGTAGACTGGGACTCAGGAGATTCAGATTACATTCCCAGATGTTCCATAGGCTTGCTGTGTAAGCTTCGGCAAGTCACTTAATCTCTCTGGTCTCAGTTCACCACCTGTACAGAGGGGATAATTATTCCTTTCTCCCACATTTGATCTGTTTTGTATGCTCTTTGAAACATAATTTTACTCTGTGTGTACAGCATCTAGCACAATAAGGTCCTAATCTTGATTGGGACCCTTAGGTGATACTATAATAATAATTAATATAATAATTTCTGGATGGGAACCTTGCCATTTACAAGGTCTTATTTCCCCAGTGAAACTTCCATTGACTTATTACACATTAGGGGCTGTCAAACCAGGCCTTCGGGTATTTAGAATATAGATTAAGAATATATGTATACTTTTAAGAGGTCTGTCACAGTTTCAGTGTCTTCATTCAGCAAATGGTGCTAGTGATTTTTCTCAATGGAAATGAGATATTTCATATGACTGGACCTCTTGCCAGGTCACAGACTAAGCTGCAGGCATCACAAAGTTTGTGTAAGGTAAATACTAACTTTTTTTGCTTTACAACAACTTTGATAGTCTTTAGGTTTCCCATCAGTTCCAAAGATAAAAAGTATTTCCTGTGATTTTTCTAGATGGTGGCTTCCTTTTTAATTAAGTAATCTCCATTATTTTTATCAGAACAGCAACATCTTTAAAAAGTTGTTCAGGACGTTCAAAAATGTTGTTCAGACAAGGTTCAGGCTGTTTTAAAAGAAGTATTATTTAATTAGAGACAAGCCTGAACATAACTCCCAGAATGAACCCCTGTGAACTTGAGGGAAGTTCAGATCTGGATCAGGGTCAGAATTTTGCACCTCAGGTCTATCTCTAGTCATGTATGCCTAATCAAAGTACAAAATAGAGTAGATAGCAAATTTGTTTCTATTCATTACATATGTTTCTTTAAGGTCTGGTTTGACAGAGCTATTCATGAGCCTGATCCTGCCTACCCAGAGTCCTCACAGTTTGTACAGTACTTAGCACAACCGTGTCCTGGTCCAAAACTGGGGCTCCGAGGCACGACAATAATACAATTAAATAATAATGATGAATGAGTGTTGAGTGTGCAAGGAATGTGGGACTGGACCTGCAGGATTTTCAAACACTTGCCTCTGTTTTTGCAATCACAATTTGCCACATTTCCTTGTCTTTAGCCTGATTACAAAACATAGATAAGTTCCTCTCCACACTACAGATCAGACCCATGTTGAAATTGGCAGCTCCTTAGTTTAAAAGGGATGGGGCTGGTGGCAGGGCATTCTCCCTGTGGGAGCCTTGACTCTGGGACTTGCTCTCCCCAACACCATTAGTCTGACAGAGCCTGGATTTCTTAACTTTCAGGGCAAGCTGCAAGGAATCTATTTTAGGGAGTGAAGAGGAATGGCTTGAGGGATTTAAGTGAAATTGATTTCAGGATCTTTGTATAGAATGGGAGATTCTTACCTTCAAAAGAGGCTACTTATGTTATTACTTGGCAGTTGTGAAGCAGCTTTGGTCCGTAAAGTTTTTTGTTTAGGGCACTTTATCCTTGTTTGTAGCTATTGATATTTATACAATGCTTAGAGCTAGACAAGGTGCTTTTAATAAACCAAAATAAACAGTAGGAAATGTTATATGAAATCTGTCACGGCCTGTATAATAGATAGTAATACGGTATCTCAAATGACTAATGTGTTTCGTTTTCTCTTGAAGGATAGAGTGGTGCTGGTTCACTGTAATGCAGGAGTTTCTCGTGCTGCCGCAATCATCATTGGTTTTCTAATTAATTCAGAAGGACTCAATTTTGCTAGAGCATTTTCTTGGGTGAAAAATGCAAGACCTGCTATCTGTCCGAATCCTGGCTTCATGGAGCAGCTTCGCAAGTACCAAGAGTGCAGTAAAAAGGCAAATGAAAGCATAAATGATCACAAATGAGAAAATGAGAGAAATGCATGCAACTATCTGTGTGGTTATACTGTAACAAATGTGCTGACATAGCATACCTTAAACTGTCGTTTCTGAATTTAAAGATCTATGTATGAGGGGAGGATAAATACATTTCCCGCACAGTTAATTCTTCAGCTTTTTAGTCTCAATGGACTGTTACACTTGTTGGTCCAGACATCAAGTTGCTAAGAGACCAGCTTTTCCCCTGATATTCTTCCACTGACTTCAGAGATAATTTGGCCCAAGGACACATTTTTTTCCCCCAGAGTGGTGAGAAAACGATCAAACAAGTTCTGGTTTGTTTGAAATATCAGATAGAAGAGAATGGTAGGTTTTCATTGAACTGTCTGTGAAAGTAGCAATAGAAAAATAAAATAAAATGCAGGCTCAGATAATAGTTTCCCCCATCTACTTTAATACCACGTCCAATCTTTATCCATTCTAGCTGGTTGTAAAATCTAGATAATAAACTGTTCTTATAACAAAATGCCTCTGTTTTGTTCTTAAGTTGATCTTGCAAGGCAAACAGATTTTTACTGAATTCTGTGGGTTAGCCAGACAGTAAGGAGCCTTCTCTTCCCTTGCATCCTGTTCAGGGGCCAGCCACAAGCCTCCTTAAGAATAAAGAAAGTGCTTCCTGCTGGAGCTTTCAGTGATACTAGTCTCCAAAACAGGAGGGGGAAACTTACCTCTTCCTCTTTATCTCCTGCAACACACAGTATAGTTAGGCCTGCTCAAAAAAGAGTTTACTTTTTCAAAGGGTGCTGCTCCAATGTGCACTACCCTGAAGCTGTCCACTCTCTGTAAGCCCCAGAATATGGTTACAGACTTAAAACCCACAATGTTGTGTATACTTCCTTACAGAACAAGGACAAAATATTGCCCTCATTTACACCCATTCAAACCAGTAATATAAACTGGTTTAAAACTGAAGATGGAGATGACATAAAGAAGCAGTACCAAAAACAGAAGGTTGAAGCTGAGATACCTAAAAGAGGCAGGATGGTCAAACAATTAGTAATCTTTTCTTTAAAGTTCTTCATCTCATCATTATCCTGCCAGCTCTCATAATTGACAAACAACTCAAAGGGAGAAATTCAAGAATAAATAGGTGTGAAAAGCATTAAAAGATTAATTTCTTTACCACAGGCACTATTGTTGGTTTCATGATTCAACATTTCTGATTTTCTTAATTTGCAGTAGAAATGAAATAACACAGGATTTGGGTGGGTCAAGTATAAATGTGTATTTAAAAATGAGGGAGAGCTAAGAGGTTTGTTATAAGTATATAACATGCCTGCCTTTGGGCACCAGTAACTTGACTTGCAGTATTTCCTACAAAGGGTTTAGGAAATGTCACAGTATATTTAATTATATTAAGCAGTAGGTATTGATATTTTTAAATGGTGACCATTGTATTAGTGTCTCATATATGTATGTTTTTGGCAAACTAATCTAAGTAGGAGCTTTTATCAAAAGCTAAACCAGAAAGCGTATCTCAAGCATATTATCAGTAATGTCAGCAATGTTCTCAAGGCTCAGTAGGATTTATTTTGTCCTAAAAGTCCATGGTCCTGATTCTGCAAGCAGATCTACATGAGTGGAATCCTGGGCCCCTGTGGAGTTCCATTGAAGTCAGTGACGCTTCACATGGGTTCAAGAGTGGACTCACTTGCAAGATCTAGGTCTATATCTGTTAATTCCTGGAGACTCCAGGACAATCCTGGAGGGTTGGCCCCCTTACTCGCGGTGTATGTGGTGCTGTGTGTGTTACAGTTTCTGGGGGTGGCAGTTTGCTGTGCATGTTAGTCTTGGGTGTGGGAGAGGCTGTTGTGGATGTTAGTCTCCTGGGAGAGAGGGTGTAGGTAGAGTTACCTTGTGTGGGGACAGAAGGGTAAACCTAGATGTAATTCCAACTACAATGCAACTTTGCAACTCCCCCTTCAAGTCATTTACAGTATCACATATAGTAACACATATAGATAAGATTGAGAACATCATTGATAACAAACAGGCATTTGCTTTATCAGCACGTTTTACGAGCCAGTCTTTGTAGTCTGTTTTGTTTAGCCAGTTTTCATTGAATGTGCAGTTTCTGATGCAAGCTGTTTTTTTTTCCGGGGATGTAGTAGGATCACTGGCACCGTCGCCCTGATCTTCCATTATTTAATATGCCTCACACATCTCCTCCCTCTTGCATAACTCAAACCCTCTCTTGCACACATGTGCGGTGTACTTGCGTGTTGGTGGGCAGACAGCTGCTGTATTTTCAACAGTTTTGATATGTTACCGCTTAAACTGTGGAATTGGGAACAATGCAGCATCTTTAGCTGGACACAGAAACTTTTAACATTAGCTATCCTAGTGTATTGTGATACTAATGGAAATCTTTAGATCCCCATACAAAAACAACCTGGCAGATTAAAGTATTTTTCTAGAGCACTGGCAAATCCAGAAAAAGAAAAAAAATGGCCAAGCCAGTCAAGCCCTAGGCCTGGAGTGGTTGTGTGTTACAGTTTCTTGGGATCTGGAGTATGTTGCTGTGTGTGCGTTACAGGCTCATGGGATGGGATTGTGTGTGTTACAGTCTCCCAGCGTATTAGGGAGAGAGGTTGCTGTATGTGTGTTAGAGTCTCACAGTCGAGTTTGCTGTGTGTGTTACAAGGGGGTGGGGATTGCTCTGTGTGTGTGTGTTAGTCTCACAGGGGTATGAGGTCATACGGGTTTCTGTGCCTCTGTTACAGTCTCACAGAGGATGCAGGAGATTGCTGTGTGTGTTACAGTCTCATTGAGTGTGGGGTGATGGGGGTTCCTGTGTGTGTGTGTTAGTCTTCTGTGGGTTGCTGGAGGTTACCATCTCAGGGGAGGGGACAGCAGTTGCTCGGTGTGTTACAGTGTCACAGAGGTTACTGGGGTTTGCTGGGTGTGTTACAGTCAGAGGATGATGGGTGTAGTCAGGTGTGTTAGTCTCACAGGAGTGATGGGGGGTTGTTGGGTGTGTTACAGTGTCACAGAGGGTGATGGGGGTAGCTGGGTGTGTTACATACTCATGGGGGTGAGAGGAGGTTGATGGGTCAGTCTCACAGGTGATGATTGGGGTGTTGCTGTGTGTGTTTGTCTCACAGGGGTGCTGGGTGTATTTCAGTCTCACACGGGCAATGGGGATGTTACTGGGTGTGTTACAGTCTGACAGGTGATGAGGGTTGCTGGGTGTGTTACAATGTCAAGGAGGCGAGGGTAGGTTGCAGGGTGTGTTACAGTCTCAGGGTGGCCATGTGGTGGTTGCTGGGTGTGTCACAGCGTCAGAGGGGTGATGGGGGCGAGCTGGGTGTGACCATCTCGGGGGAAGGGGTCATCTTGCTGGGGTAACGCGGACGAGGGAACCTGATCCGTGCTGGGGAGAAGCCTGAGGTGGGGATGGGGGCGTGGTCAGGGACGAGTCGCTGACTGAGCGCGCTACCGTCAGCGTAACCACGCCTCTTCCTGCCCCGAAGTCACGCTCCCAAGAGATGGCTGCTGGGCAAGGCAGGAAGTGACGTACCCCAGCGCGCCCCGCGGCGGGCCGAATTTCCGCTCCATTTGAAAGTGATCGCCGCGGGGGGCTGCTGCTGTTGTTTCCCACAGTTCCGCGCCCCCAGCGTGATGGCCGCCTTCGCCATGGAGCTGCCGCCGGCCGGTACGCAGGGCTTGGGGGTGGCTCCGGTTGTTGCCGGGGCCAGTGGCGCGGAGCAAGTCGCGGCCGGGGGGGCCTCCACTGCCAGCCCTCGGAGCTCGTGGGGGAGGCCTGGTCAGGGCGGACGGGACCAGCGTGTCAGCGGCCTTGGCTGTCCGCCGTATGCGGCTCCGGCCGCGCTCTCCACCTGGCCCCGTGACCGTATCGCATGGCCGCGCTGGCTCTCCCGTGTCCCGGCTTTTAGCGCTGCCGGTGGGAGAGCTGCTGCTGCGTGGCGGGCCTGGGGCAGGTCCCGCCAGGGCTGCGGGATCCCAGCGCTGAGGGGCGCTTCCCTCCTGTCCTGACGGTGCCAGTAACCGCGCTCAGCACGTCGTGTCATGAAAGCGACGCACAAAAGCTACAGCAGCGCGGGGCCCGACCGTTAACGGTCCGTGGGAGTTAGGGGCTTCGTTACTTTGAAACATCCGGCCCTCAGCGACTGTCGCTCGGGCAGCTGGGGGACTCGGGCGGGGGCGTGACCGCGCCGGGAGACGCAGCGGGGCAGCCAGTGAGGGAGCTGGCATGAGGACCTGGAAGTTCCTGGTTCCATCCCTGCGGTGGGAGCGCTCTGTGCTGCAGAATGAAACGAGGAGGAAAAGTAAAGTTGGTGCTTGTTTCTTTAAAGTGATAAGAAATAGCACAGCTGCTGTGGTCACAGAAAATGCGGGTTTAGCTGGTATTGTTTCTGATTATAAAAGTAAATCCGTAATGAGAAAAGTTCTTTCATATCAGTTTCACAGCACTAATTTGAACTTCCTTGTAGCTTTCCTTCAGACAGCTCCTTTATCCTTAGGAACTGCGGTATGCTGAATCACTAACTTTTCTGAATTCTTCAACTTTCTTTTACTAATGCAGGAGCTGAACCAATGACTCTTGGTTCCCCGACCTCTCCAAAGCCAGGAGCTGGTGCTCAGTTCCTACCTGGATTTTTAATGGGCGATTTACCAGCTCCAATGACTCCACAACCTCGCTCTTTAAGTGGCCCTTCTGTTGGTGTGATGGAAATGAGGTCTCCTTTACTTGCAGGTGAATAATTTTACTATGAAGCCTTTTGTAGAAGCAGCTGTGTCTTTTTTTTATTTAAAAAAAGGCTAGCTTTGATTTACCAATCCAGTGATTTTTGTTACAAATTTGAGTCTATCGTTTTCCAAACTGTAGTTGCTAAAGATGGCCTCAAACATATTCAGTTGAGTTTAAATAACCAATTATTGCAAATAAGTCTTAAACAAGTTTCATGGTGATTTAAGTATGACTGTTTCAATCTAACAAAATTTCCTCCAGAGGTACAATGTGAGTCTCTGCTGGTATAAGATCAGTCTAAGGTCGGGCATTTGACTTGTCAAAAATAATTGGTCAGTTGACTGGTCATAAATGGTCAAACATTTTAAAGTACTAATTAATGTAATTGGTAAAGTGGAAGTAACTTGAGAAAAAAACTTCTATATGAAATAGTATAGTGCTGGCATAAATAGCTCTAGCAAAGTGTGACCAAATTCGCTTTCCTGGTCATAGGGTACCTCCAATAACTGATTTGATGAACATCTGAAGACTTTCTAGGCGTAGGAGTTTTCAATACTGAACTAGGTAGAGTAGCAAAAATCTTATAAGAGGATGAAGAAATGGAATTGGCTTAACTCCCTGCCCGAGCCCCCTGCCGCACCCTGCACACCTCCTGCACCTCAACTCCCTGCCCTGAGCCCCTGCCGCACCCTGCACCCCCTGGGGGCATGGAGGGGGCAGAGTTGGGGTGGGGACTTTGGGGAAGGGGTTAGAATGGGGGCGGGGAAGGGATTGGAAGAGGTGGGGTGGGGCCTCATGGAAGGGGTAGAGTGGGGGCGGGGCCGGGGGCAGCAAGGGGTGGGTGTCAGTGTTGCGGCCCTTGGGCCCATGCACTAGTCCTCATGTGGCCCTTGTGGTCATTTGAGTTTGAGACCCCTGAGCTAGGCCGATGGAAGTATCTCCATCACTAGAGGTTAGGTAACTATGATGGTCAGCATTGGAGGTGGATTTTTCACAACACCAAGCACCATAGCTATGTTAACCTAAATTTTAATTGTAGACCAGGCATGTGTGATCAAGACCTTAAGCAGGCTTACTTACAGATGGCACCATCATTGAGTCAAAAAGGTAGTTCTGCTGCCTACATCAGGCTGTACTGAACAGCACCTTGCTCTGGGCCGTCTGGAGTGGCCTTGGTTAAACAATATAATTGTTAATGTTTTAAATGATATTTACATCCCTAATTCAATCTATACTAAAGGGAGTTTGGTTTCCCCACAGGTAGATTGCTGGTAAAAGTAACTGCTCTGCTTGTTGGGAAATTGTTCGATGAAAGCAGTGGTCTGTTGTGAATAAAATGAAGCTTTTGGAAACTCTTGATTTAAAATACAGTATTTTTAAGGAAGACAGTACTATTAAATCTGCCTGAGAAATTGTACGTAGATATAACTGTCGTTGGGGAAGAACTAAAAATCCTTTTCAGGATATGTCAGGGGTCTCTCTGAATGTTTGTTTTGTGAGGTGCCTATTAGCTACATTAGGTGAAGGCTGTCAAGTTAAATTGGGCCTATATGGGAAAATGTTTGATTACATAGGCCTGTAGTAATATATATCTACTTTTCCTGGCTACTGGGAAAATTGTGTGATTCTGTTCTCCATCCTGATAACTGGGTGGGTAGTTGCATTACCCAGAAGAATGCAATACTATGTCAGCTTTTCTCCCTTCCTTAGACACATTTACCAGCTTCTAATCTCTAAATCAATGTATTCAATGTCCCAGATGAAGTAGGAAGTATTTGTTTCACTGAATCAACTGTGGGTATAGTGTGAGTAGTACACTAGTGCCACTGGGCAAAGGTTCCATTATGGAGGAGGGGGTTAAAAGTGCAGAATGCAGTACTGACATGTTCTGTCCCCTTTGAGCTATTGTGTCAATATTTCAGTATAACTTGTCTAAATATCACTTTGGACTGAAATGTGCTGTTACTTTCAGCTATTAAACTAATTGATTAGCTTTTTTTAAGTGTTCATAAATAGAAATTGCAGAGGTTTATGCTGCATTGTCCATTAAGGACTCGGGGCTCCTGATTTTTTTAAAAATACAAACTCTACCAACACAAATTTAGAATAACAAGATAGGTTTGACTTAATCCTCTGAAATTAGGAGTTACTGCAACAGAGAATAAATTACCACAGATTTGACACCCCGCTAGACCGTGAAAGTAGGGCTTCTGCCTAAATTTTGAGGGATGTATCCCCATCAAAACTCTCAATTGCCATGTAGATATACCCCTGCTTTCTGCGGCTCACAAATAATTCATTTGTTTATAGGGAGTCTTGTAGTGCAGGATTGAGAAATACATTTGAATTGGATAGCCAGAGAACTTTTAATTTAGACATTATTGACTTGAGCACGCCCATGTAAGTGTTCTCTTGGGTGCATCAAGGTTCTTTAAATCAGTTTAATTTCTTGAGCTACTCCTACTAAATATCCTTGTGTTATGGTGGAACCCAGAGGTTCCAGTCAGATTTGTGGCCCTGTTTTGGTTAATGCTGTATAAATTCATAGGCAGTTAGTCTTTGCTCCAAAGAGCGTACAATCTAATTTATGACATGACACAAATATTACAAATTGGAGAGAAGAGAGAGTTTAACTGCATGCACACCTTAATGTTTCAAAATCCTTGATGATTACTCATATAGATGTCTTAATCTCCAGTGGCCCTTTATTGTTGTTGGTTAAGCTTTCATGAAATCTGTTTCATGCTGTAGTGAAGTTGGTTAACATAAAATGACTGTTGTGAATACTACATTGTTACTCTGCCATAAAAAAGCAAGAGGTAACTGTGGAAAAACAATTGTTAAATAACATTAGAAATCAGAAGAAAATGAAAAGGAACATCTAAATTGATTTAGGTTAGATGGGTTTAGAAGTCCTTCTAATTTTGACATTGCAAAAATCAGTGCAATTGTTGTAAACTGATCCTAGAAAGTAGTCTTATGTCTTTAGGTAGTGTAGTTCACTACCTACCTTTTTTATGACACTTTTTTTTAAGAAATGTGTGATTATCCTGTTGTACACTCATACTATGGTAATCTAAGTGCAAACAGTCCTCAAATCCTGCTATTGTACTATGTCCAGATACATTAGGCATCTAGCATTTCATATGTTGTCCAAGCATCAACAGTGAAACCATGTGACAAATTAGGGTTGGGATGTTTGTATTACGAGCTTAATACTAAAACTTGTATATTAATACTATTTTTCTGACAAACTACACGGACCACACTCTGACAGCATCCACAGAAAGGCAAACCAAAATGCTAAATTTTCCATCGAGTGGATTGTAATCAAAACTCGCATCATATAATCTTTGAAGATACCGGATCTATTCCCCTATTGCTATAGTGTTGTGCCATACAGTATTTTTTCATGCTGTGTTCTGTATAACTTTAAATGTTATAAGCAGCAAATCTTCACTACTACTTCACTGGAAGACCATTGTGTAATTATTAGGGACTGGGTTCTGATACCCTTCCTCATGTTGAGTAGTACTTTCCTCTGTAAAATGTCCCATTTACTTCAATAGGGACAACTGAAGGAGTTAAAGTGCTACTCGGAGTGAGTGATGGTATCAAAATCTGGCCCTTTGATATATCCGATTCTGAAACAAGTGCACTGAAAACTGTCCAACAAAGTGGTTAAACAGTCTGTTCTTAGTTTATAGATATTAGGTGTTCTTGGGGGGACAATTAGAAAACTAACTAGGCAGTCTATGATCAGATGATTGCTAACTGTTTGAATGTCAAAAGGCTAGAGTTTCAAAATTAATCTGGTGGAGTACATGGAAATGATAAGCTTTCTGCTTGCTCCTTTCCATTGCAGGTGGATCTCCTCCACAACCAGTAGTTCCTACACATAAGGATAAAAGTGGTGCTCCCCCTGTTAGAAGTATATATGATGAATTATCTAGTCCAGGACTTGGATCTACACCTCTAACCTCAAGAAAACCAGTAAGTGGTAATCTTAAAGGTTAGTTGCAAAGCTAAACTAAAATTTCAGTTAATCTAGGTAGTGAATGTCTTTACTTCCCAGGTTGGGTGCAGGCATTTGATTCATACAATTTTTATTTCAGTGTTGAATGCCTCTCATGCTCTGGTTAGTGAGGGGCTTCAGCTCCTGAATCTTAACTTAACTCAATTTTCACTTTAGTCTGGTTGACAGCTGGTTAGTCTGACAAACAAGCACTGCAATATTAGCATGTATCTCCTTTCATTTTTTCCCTCTTCCTCCATATGACTTTGGAGGGTAAAATATAAAAACAAGGAATTTCTCTTGAAACAAAACACAGTCAAGTCAGACCAGAAGTTACATATCTTTATATGTTTGTCACAGCTTAATTAAGACTTAAAATACAGGAAGACAAAATATTTTAAGGTTTGTTTTTTTGGGGGGGGAGGGGGTATCAATAATGCAACAAAAAGTTAGCGTAAATGAGATGGCAGTATTTTGTCAAAGCATTGGGGGCACTGCCAGCAATAGCAAGTCATCTTCATGCTTTTCAATTAAATTCTGTTGAGTGAAATGCCTGGTTAAACTTTCAGTTTCTGATGCTAACAGGCCAGAGTAAGATTTCAGGGTCAATTCAGTAACCTGTCAGTCAGCCTCTTAATCCATAATGATAAGAGAGCAAATACTTTCACTAGAAAATTCTCTTCTATTGCTAAAGAGAACTGACTTACTCTGTGGATTGTGTACTTGGTCCTGCATAGAACATAGGCATGTTTTCTGGCATAAGGGTCTTATAAACTGAAAACTTAGTTATTTTATGAAGGGGAGAAGCCACTAATGTAGACTGAAGGGCTGGAGACTTCATAGAATGCATACTAGTTCTGTCACTATAGTTAATAGCTCCTGTTAAATTTAAAAGTACTTCTGTTTTCTTAATCGTATTTTATATTTAAGAAAAAACATGCTGCTTTAATGTTGAAAGGACATTGTTGAAGCCCTTACTTAAAACACTGAAAGTTCCTTTTAAGAGACCTAACCTTCTAAATACTCTGTTTCAGTTTGGAAGGGGGAAAGAAGAGAATAGCTAGCATAGGGTAAAAGTCGGTCAAGGGTAGGTAATGCAACCGAGTAGTGTTGGTATACCGCAGCTGTAGCCGAAGTTTACAGCTGAGTGAGGGGAAGGGGACATAACTAACTTAAAACACTGATAGACACAAGGGAGGCTTCTCATTTGATATGTTCTTTGTGAATATTTATTAAGCCGTTGTGGTAAGTTATGTTTACTCTTCAAAATAATGAAAGGTCTTTGGGTATAAATGCAAAATACTTATTCATTTTTGGCAAAACATTACTGACTTTATAGGAAAGCTGACTACTTCAGTAGTTCAGAGGTCCCTAAATCTGTGGTGTGGGTAGATGTCCCTATTGTATGATGATCAGTTGCTGTCTAAATGGCAACAGCCTTCTGAACAAATTTATAAGCAGTATGTTGTTCATAATGTTTCCCCAATGTGAAATAGTTACTAGAGGAGTTCACTGTGTAAAAGAATAGGAGTTAGATACTTTTAGTCAGAAGACCCATAGGCAATTGCACTTTATTCCACAAGGATAAACAGTGAAGTAAGCTCTTCATTATCTACCAATTGAGGGTTATTTGGATATACAAGGAATTACTAGGTTATATGAATTTAAACAAATGCCGAAGCAAAATGTTCAGTAACTTTATTGCATATCAGGATCCACTTACTGGGTTTGCACAGTTATTTCACTAACTGCAAGCAGAAGAATGTTTGTTTGCTTTAAATTGATACTGGGGCAAAAATTTAACCTTTTCTCCTGATTTTTATCAAGTGGGCTAAAACTGGTCTTTCCTGACTATGAAAAGACTGTACCTGCAACTATGACTTGTTACTTTTCTGTATTTTAATGCAGCCCAGCTTTTCTGTAACGCAGAGTCCATTGGTTGGAGCTATGCCAGCAACCCCTGGAACAGGTAGACATCCTGTCAAACTGCTTGCTATACTTTTGTTAGCATGGTAGAGGGCCAACTCTGTCTGAGCTTTCACTTTTTTTGTAAATTGCCTTGCAAATAAGTAGCATTCTTTCCGCTTGCAAGTGACAAATGTGAGCAGGAAAGTACTGCCTTGTTTGTTAGAGTACTGCAGATAGAACAAGAACAAGGAGCTGATCCTGGGAACTACAGGCCAGTCAGCCTCACTTCAGTCCCTGGAAAAATCATGGAGCAGGTCCTCAAAGAATCAATCCTGAAGCACTTGCATGAGAGGAAAGTGATCAGGAACAGCCAGCATGGATTCACCAAGGGAAGGTCATGCCTGACTAATCTAATCGCCTTTTATGATGAGATTACTGGTTCTGTGGATGAAGGGAAAGCAGTGGATGTATTGTTTCTTGACTTTAGCAAAGCTTTTGACACGGTCTCCCACAGTATTCTTGTCAGCAAGTTAAGGAAGTATGGGCTGGATGAATGCACTACAAGGTGGGTAGAAAGCTGGCTAGATTGTCGGGCTCAACGGGTAGTGATAAATGGCTCCATATCTAGTTGGCAGCTGGTATCAAGTGGAGTACCCCAAGGGTCGGTCCTGGGGCCGGTTTTGTTCAATATCTTCATAAATGATCTGGAGGATGGTGTGGATTGCACTCTCAGCAAATTTGCGGATGATACTAAACTGGGAGGAGTGGTAGATACGCTGGAGGGGAGGGATAGGATACAGAAAGACCTAGACAAATTGGAGGATTGGGCTAAAAGAAATCTGATGAGGTTCAATAAGGATAAGTGCAGGGTCCTGCACTTAGGACGGAAGAACCCAATGCACAGCTACAGACTAGGGACCGAATAGCTAGGCAGCAGTTCTGCGGAAAAGGACCTGGGGGTGACAGTGGACGAGAAGCTGGATATGAGTCAGCAGTGTGCCCTTGTTGCCAAGAAGGCCAATGGCATTTTGGGATGTATAAGTAGGGGCATAGCGAGCAGATCGAGGGACGTGATCGTTCCCCTCTATTCGACATTGGTGAGGCCTCATCTGGAGTACTGTGTCCAGTTTTGGGCCCCACACTTCAAGAAGGATGTGGATAAATTGGAGAGAGTCCAGCGAAGGGCAACAAAAATGATTAGGGGACTGGAACACATGAGTTATGAGGAGAGGCTGAGGGAGCTGGGATTGTTTAGCCTGCAGAAGAGAAGAATGAGGGGGGATTTGATAGCTGCTTTCAACTACCTGAAAGGGGGTTCCAAAGAGGATGGCTCTAGACTGTTCTCAATGGTAGCAGATGACAGAACGAGGAGTAATGGTCTCAAGTTGCAGTGGGGGAGGTTTAGATTGGATATTAGGAAAAACTTTTTCACTAAGAGGGTGGTGAAACACTGGAATGCGTTACCTAGGGAGGTGGTAGAATCTCCTTCCTTAGAGGTTTTTAAGGTCAGGCTTGACAAAGCCCTGGCTGGGATGATTTAACTGGGAATTGGTCCTGCTTTGAGCAGGGGGTTGGACTAGATGACCTTCTGGGGTCCCTTCCAACCCTGATATTCTATGATTCTATGTAGTTATTCATCTGTGCCTTGCAGTAGAACTTCTCCATGCTGTATTGAACACAGAGGCAGAGGTGGCTGTTCTTAAGGAATGCTATGGAGGATGACAGATGGTGCCACCATTCTAAAGCTGCCTCATTTCCTTGTATGAACCCAGCAGCTTCTTGTAAAGCTTTCTGTTGGGTTCTTTGTTCCCATAATAGGCTCTGCAGAGTAGTTGTAGGATCAGAATTTGGCCCCATTTTTAGTAGCAGCAGACAAAGGTGTGGTAAGTAGCTCAGTCACAGAGCTTAGCAACATGTTTGCAAATTTCACTAGTCTGAAGTGTGAATTAATGTTGTTTTACTGTGTTTATGAAAATAAATCGGCTAATTTTTCCTACTAAAATAATCTTCATATCAAATTTATACTCTTAGGTGCCTAGCTTTCTACACTACTCTGACTAGCTTAGTTACAGTAGCAATTCATTGAAATCAATCCTATTTCAATTTAACAGCCACAGGTGTATTTAGTCCTGCAAGTATTGGACAGCCCAGAAAGACTACACTGTCTCCTGCTCAGCTGGATCCTTTCTACACTCAAGGGGATTCTTTAACCTCAGAAGATCATCTTGATGACACCTGGGTAACTGTATTTGGGTGCGTGATCTGCAGCATTTTTCTAAAATCTGATGGCAAAGTCCTTATACTTGGCTATTCTGTTTGAGTACCTGTACATGGAGATGTACAATCTATACATCACTGAAAAAATGCATGAGTTTTAATTACTTTAATTTTCTAGACTACAGTACACTGAAATTTAACTTGCTTCTTAGGAAGTGGGTGAGAGTGGGGAGTGCAAGAAGCAGCAATAGGACATTGTGTTGGGGTACTAGCAATCATAGGACTCGATTCTCAAAGCCAGGAGACAGCAAGTGAATACATCTGCTAAATAGTAAAGTGGCTTCCGTGGGGAATCTGCATATCATTATCTTCATGCAAGAGTGTAGATGATGGTGAGCCAATAAGATCTAGGACATTCTGGTATCTTAAATACTGTTTCAGAATCAGTGCTTAATGAACAGTTCAGCTGATCTTGCACTTTTGGGAACTCTGCCAAGGAGTTTCAGCAAAACATTATAGAATATTTAGTGTGTTCTATAATAGTCTCTCACTGATCAGCATTTTGAGTATGTTGTCTTTTGCTTTCAGGTTTCCTCAAGCATCTGCTTCATATATTCTACTACAGTTTGCACAGTATGGAAACATTTTAAAGCATGTGGTAAGTCTTATGTTGACTTATCTTCTAAAACATATGCTAAGTTGTTCATTCTTCAAATACTAAATTTCACTACTTCCAACCAAAACCGAGACAGATGTCCAATACAGGAAACTGGATGCATATTCGGTATCAGTCCAAACTGCAAGCCCGGAAAGCCTTAAGCAAAGACGGAAGGATTTTTGGTGAATCTATCATGATCGGAGTCAAGCCTTGTATAGATAAAGTAAGTTAGCCATCCATTCTGTATGGAGTAACAAATTAATTTATAAGGTATCTTTGTTTTGGTCTGTCCCTTGCTTTTCCTCTTCCAGAAGCATGTACATGGATGGGGATGGGGAGTGGGGGGTGGGGAAGGGTTCATATGTTAAATCAGGTGGCATACATCAGTAGTAGTCCTTTGTTATCTGAGGACTTAACATGGAAACTATAACGGTGTACAGCAGTGCTGCACCACACTTAGGGCTGTGAAGGGAGTATGCTGGTTCATCTAAAACTGTAGGGGAAATGTAGCTGGGTAGAATGTATTTACCTGAGTTGGAATTTGATTCACTAAGATTAACACTTTGCTGGTTACTAGCTACTACAGTTAGTAGTTCTGCAATTTCACATTTGAGTTCCTTCAGAACTCTTGGGTGAATACCATCTGGTCCTGGTGACTGATTACTGTTTAGTTTATCAGTTTGTTCCAAAACCTCCTCTAATGATACCTCAATCTGGGACAGTTCCTCAGATTTGTCACCTAAAGAGAATGGCTCAGGTTTGGGAATCTCCCTTATATCCTCAGCCGCGAAGACTGATGCAAAGAATTCATTTTGTTTCTCTGCGATGGCCTTATCCTTAAGTGCTCCTTTAGAATCTCGATCATCCAGTGGCTCCACTGGTTGTTTATCAGGCTTCCTGCTTCTGATGTGTATATAGAAATTTTTTTGCTATTACTTTGAGTCTTTGGCTAGCTTATAGACTTCGGCAAGTATATAGCTCCCCATCCAAGTCAGTACAGTCACAACACTTGGTAATTGTCTCCTCTACACTAAGAGGAAAGCATGCCTACCTGTTCGTTTAAAACACCAATTCCTGCAGCACTCTGGTCATCTTGGCAGTCTCATCTATATACTTGCTTGAGCTGACTATGCTGTCAGCTGTAATGCGGTTCAAGCGTGGCTGTAAAACATCTAAAGGGAAGAGGTTAAGCTACGTACCAGACTAAAGGGGGTGAGGGATGAGCAGGAATAAAATAGGACTGGGGAAATACAATTGAATGGGAGTAAGCAAACAAACGATTCAGCTCGGAAAATCCTGTAAACAGGACTGAGACCTATTCTTGCCCCAGCTCTAATGGGCTGGCTGTCAAGAAGCTTGTCTTGTGTTGCAGAATCAAAAAATGTGGGGGGGGGGAATCTTTTGAAAGCCAAAATATAAATCTTTGTTCTGGAAAAAGCCATCGGATCACTAACTCTACAGATAACCCCGGGATTGTTTGGCAGTAGACTCATGGAAGGATGAAGGGTTGAGGTAACGCTACCCAGGTTTGAATCCAAAAATTTAGGTATTTAACGCCCAAGGTTGGACCACTGCAAGCTTGTTGAGACTTGCTTTTAGTTTATTTATAAATCACTAAAATCATGTTGTCTGTACTGTTTTCAAATTTGGTCATGACATTATCTTTAGTTCACCACTAGCTTATACTAGCATCATACAGTTCTTTTAAATAAGCATTTTTCTTACTGCTGCTCTGTGCGCTAATGTTCATCATAGAACATGTACTGGTAGTTCAGTGTCTGCTATACTGTGTAAATATCTTACATACTCTTCATTGAATACATACTGGAGACTTTTAGAGTCATGGTGCATCTTGAGCTATTGGGGTATTACTTTTTGTCAAATCAAATCCAGTTACTGCAGTAACTGGAATTAAACTGATATGCACCTAGTATTTGCTTCCAATTTATTAAAATAGCCTATTTTCCCCCCTCTTTCAAGAGTGTGATGGAAAGTTTTGACAGAGGCTCTGCATCCTCCATGTCTTCAGTCTTCACGCCACCGACAAAAAACTTAGGCACACCGATGCAGCCTGCAAGTACTCCAAGGATTTCTACAATGAGACCTCTTGCAACAGCATATAAAGCTTCCACTAGTGACTATCAGGTATTTTGAGAAGATAGAGAGCGAGAGAGGTTACCAAATACTTAAGCAGATTTCCAAAAAAGGAATTTGTATTCTTCTTGACTTTCTCAAAGTAAACTGCAAAAGAAACAACTAAGCCAAAAAAGACACGCTGAATGCATATTTGTACTTTCTGTGCTGAGTAGTGGGGACATCAGCACATTGTTCTAGACTTAACTCATTTTTTATCTCTACCTGTAGTTTGCTCCTTTCCCACTTGTCAAGGCAGTTTTTTCAAACTTGCCAACATAGCCTATCCATCTGTCAAAAAGCTTTCAGAGTGACTTTTTTAGAAAGCCAGTTTCTTACCTCATCTGTCCATTCCAAGAAGTTGAATTTGTGTTGAGATGCCCTTAGATGCCCATTTTTACAGTCATAGTAATTCTAAGAGCTGGGGTGTGTAAATAGAATGAATGCATGCTGGCTGACCAAGTGTTTTTGTTTCTTCTAGGTGGTTTCTGACAGACAAACCCCAAGGAAAGATGAAAGTATTGTATCTAAAGCTATGGAATACATGTTTGGCTGGTAGCAAGCAATGGAAAGTATTACACTAAAACACAGTTAGGGCTACAAATAAACTGCCAGCTTCCTGGTTAGTTGTATAACCACTCATGGCAGTATTTCAGCTTCCCTTCACACCAGTTATGCCTTCTGAGAGGAGAATTCAGCAGACATTGTTTGCACTTTAAATGATGACAATGTACACAGCATTTTAAGATGTTAATCTTAAACTAATCAGTGTAAATACAAGTGGTCTTGTGCTGTTTGTGCTCTAGTGATTGCATGACTTCAGGAAAAAAGTCAGTACTGATTTGCTATAAGTTATGGAATTGTGTTAATTATACTTTCCAGTAAAGTGAGAATGTATAAATGATAACTCAGTTTACTGTTTCCCAATAATGTAACAATGTTTCTTAATCTTTTCTGGAAAGATGGTAAGTTTTTTCTGCAGGATGAACACTATGTATTCTAGTAATATAAGGGATTTTTCTTGGGCTACCAATTTTAAAATGAATGTTTTAAATTTTAATTTGGATGCTGTTTAATACTTCTCTGTTTATATAAAGTTCATCTTGGAGTCCCATTCTAAATTTTCATAACAGCCTTTTAAACTTTTTAACTTAAATTTTCTTAATAAAAGTTAAGAGTTTGCAAAGTTGAGTTCTTTTTAAAAGCTTGAGTGACCCATGTGTTCATGAACTTCCCATTTGTCTCACAGGCGTATTGCATGTACCACCTGAACTTACACAGCACTGTGTTGGGTTCAGGTAGCCAGTCAAACAAAATGGGTGGATTTAATTTGCATAAATTGGAATTGGTAACATATTAAGATTTAAATTTGGACTTACTAAGAAATTAACATAGTAGTGCACTGTGCCACTTATCAATACCTTATGCTTTATTTAGAAAAGGTCAAAAATATGGGACACAAACGTGTATGTTTCACCGGGACTAAAATACATCCTCCACTTAAGTGCACAGGACATGCCCGCTTTTAAGCATGTTCAGCACACTACAGTTTGAAACAAGCAGTTAAAAATATCTAATTGCAATTGCAAGTGGAAAAAAATGGCTAAACTGTAACTTGGCCAGAACAAAGACTAAGCTAATTGCTGCAAGGGGCCAGAGCCTTTTACATCATAAGACTTTCTAATGAAGAAGCTATTTCTGCTGTGTTGGCAGAATAGTGAATCAAAGGGTAGAGTGTCGTCTTTTGAATTACCAACATACTCTCCTTCAGTACCCAGAACTTTCCGGAGAGGTGGCCTATCCGGGACTGAGGAGGCTTCATCCTATATTATGTGAGATCCATGATCATAGATTGAGAGATGGCTAAATACAGCTGATTTTTTTCCCCACGTATACTCAAAGGGAAAAATCTTGCCTCCGTACACTACTATCCCTACATCCTTGTTTCTAGTATCTTCCTCCAACTCAAGCTATTTGACAATACCACATTTTGACACACACAGTTACAAACTTCATCCTGACTCTGTAAATTTCCCTTTCTCAAGGTACCTGAGAGGAAACTTCTCTCCCCTCAATAAGCTTAATGTATTTCAATTAGTGTTGGGCTCTAGTAATAACTCCTCAGAATTCAGTTCTACAGCTGATGGCAACCCCTTTGCTCACATGATTCAAGAGGGACATTTCCGTAGCTTGGGGCAGCATGTGGCTCAGTGCACCACTGATATTCGTATCCCAGCAGTTTGTACTTGGTTCCAGAGTATATCAAAGAAGGTGCATGAGTCTTTACTCCCAAATAGAAACCAACTGTACATGGTACATCCTAGATCTTATGCAATGTGGGGAACATAAAACAGCGTGGAACGTGCAGCCTTAAGCGTTGTCTAAATATGTATTGCACCAGTTTAAGATAAATTGGCTTTTAAACTGACTTAAACCAGTGCAAAATCCAGCACAGACACTATTGGTTTAAGAGTAGCTAATGGTGGTTTAGCTTCAGCTTGTTCTTAATTGACTCAGGCTAATTTGATATGAAGTGCCCACATAGCTTTGTTCACTAGTTTAACTGTATCAGTTTTAAATAACCTTTAAACAAGTAGTTTCATCTGCTTAACTAGACCAGCCCTGTGCTCCTTTGGAAACTATTATATTGTGTATAATAGCTGGTGCTTAGTAAAGAGCTGCCCTTTTGTTGGAATCTAAACAGGACAAGCAATCACCTGTTGACTGTTAATCGGTATGTTGGGTTCCAGTTGCTCCTTAATTGCAGTCCCCAATACACCTGCTCAAAATGCAGTACCCTCTCTCTGGCCTGTGCTTCCAAACAGCCTGTTAAACAGATGAGCCCATACAGAAAACAGGTAATGAAACTATTTTCTGACAACTAGCAAATTACAATCTTTCCTCCTATAAGCCGAAATGACTTCCACAGGATTCTTGGTGTATTACTTGTATTTAGCTGCTCACTTCTGATCTCCTGAGTTCCACTTGGATCCATCTCCTTTCTTGCTCACTCTCCCTACCTTCACTGAACTTAGACCTCAAGATCATTTGTTCACTAAATAAACTGCTGAACAGTTTGATGGCTCACACCATTCCAAATACCAGATTTAAATTTCTTGACTGCTGCTGTTCTGTTGTCTTGCTTCTCATGAAGTTTAGGATGACTTTTCCTGCCCAGACTGGCACCTTCACACACTTTTTTTTTTTTTCCTTATTGATGCTGTCTGTACATTAAAACTGCCTAGGAATGTTGGATATTGGTTCACTTCTCTCTGTAGGCAGGGAGAAAACATGCTCAGGATCAAAGAATCAATATACTTTGCTTCTACTGTCTAACTTTGGCTGTTGTGTTGCTGATCTAGGTTCTTCCTGGAGTGACTTGGATTTGTATCACACGCTTGTTACAATAAGTGTTTCCAAATCGTGTCTCATAGTGTGCTGAGTAGCTGTAGTCATTTTGTTTGTAGACTAGCTCACTATGAATGTAGTAAGAATTATCTAATGTCTTATACACCCAAAACATTACACAAAATGCTCATTTTCAAAATATGTTGTTGGCAAAAGAAAGCATCTCTAGTTTACAAATAAAGAACCTGAGTGCTAAGGGGAGGATTTTCAAAAGTGCATTTAGAGTGGTGTAGCCCTGTTGGTTCCAGGATGTTAGAGAGACAGTGGGTGAGAGAATCTTTTTCTGGACCAGCTTCTGTTGGTGAAAGATACAAGCTTTTGATATCCATGGGTCCTGTACATGCCTGTTACCACATGTGTGTCTCACCCAGTGCACTAAATGCCCAACAGTTATGTGGGTGAAACCAGACAATCCCCACATTCTTGAATTAATTCAGAAAAATAAAAGACAAAACCACTATATTACCTGTGGGTGAACACTTTTCCCAAAACAGTTACTCCATATCTGATATCTGACCTCTCAGTCCTCTTCCTCAAAGGAAATCTGCTCAACACCTTCGAAACATGAGCCTGGGAGCTTAAATTGGTAACTCTGCTAGATTCTAAAAATCATGGTCTGAATAAAACACAGGAGTTATGGCTTATTATAAGAATCTTTAACCCACTAGCTCTTTTTTTTTTTTTTTGGTCCTATTTTTGTCCTGCAGCGATGTTAATGGGCTGCTTTACCTTGAATGGTATGTGTGTTAACTACTTATACTAAACATTCTGTTCCATCTTGTATTTAGCTGTGACATTCTGAGTACTTTTCCAGACCTGCAGAAGAGCTCTGTGTAAACTCAAAAGCTTGTGTCTTTCACCAACAGAAGTTGGTCCAATAAAAGATATTACCTCACCTACCTTGTCTCTCTCAAGAGACTTCCAGGGACTTATGCTCCTAAATCCCACAGGTGCTTTGGAATATCTCCAGCCTTATTTTGTCAAGGTCAGATGGTGAGTTGCAGGGAGAACTGGCATTAGAAATTTAGGAGTTGTTCCTGTCCTGTGCACTTACTTAGTACTGCTGCTTTAAAATGGAAAAGTATAGTTACAGTGATAGCTGACTTGCCTGTAATTAAGGGGCCATTTTGTAAAATTACTACAAGCTACTCTTAGTATGACCTTTTTATGAGTGATGTACCCAAATAGTTGGATGCTAATACTTTAATGTAACCACTGAATTTATTAACTTTAATCTGGGATATTGCGGATTATGTACTATAGGTATTTTATGATTTTCAAACAACACTTTGTACTTTTGGATAATTTAAGCATTATGCCCAGATGTTCAGACACTCTCGTCTTAACCTATGTATTACATAATGTTAACATTATCTTTAATAAATTTTTTAAAATCTGTTCTTATCGATATTCAGTGTCCGTTTCCCCCTAGGCCCCAATCCTGCAAACTGAAATGTATTCAGCGCCATTGACTTCAATGGGCCTTTGTGCTGACTGGGAGCTCTACCCACATGTGATCAAGGCTATAATTTTAAACAATTTTTTTCATAAATATTCAACATATTGTTTAATCTTTCCTGCTGCTACAACTGAGTCAGTTTAGTCAAAGGCTTGATTGTCATATCTACTCCTATGTCCTAATTCTATACAGTTTTAAATTCTTCATTAGTAGGGTCCTGTAGCCTCTGCTATTTCATATCCATTTCATGAACAATTTAGTTGGCAGTGTCCTTTTTGCTGGCAAGTTGTTCGTTGCTGGATAATAGATGAGAACATAACCACCTCTCATCCCAAAATTTACAGCCTGCTTTTAGATAACTTTCAATGTGGTAACTTTTTGCCCAGATGGACAACTATAGAACACAACATGAATGATCAAAAGTTATTTTAACTGTGGTATGTGTTCATTTCTCTAACCGAAAATACAGTTTCTACTTCATGTTGCAGACTATCTCCACCTTGTGGCAGCTTTTTAGAACTGTCCGGTATGCTAGCTTTATAATTGAATTGGAGGTTTAACTGCTGTTGTGTGAAGTTTATCTTGATTTACCAGTACAGATGCTCTATTAAACCTATGTGCATAAACAATACCATGAGAAAAAAGCGCACCTTTTAAAAAAAAATGCAATAAGATTTCCTCTAGACCAGCAGAGGTGTAGGCAAAAGAGAAGGAAAATACAGAGCCAGTATATATAGCAGAAATGTTCTTACCCAGTGTAGCAAAGAAATTACAAAGGGGATGGCTTGTGTGTCTAAATATTAGGCTTGAACTAACTTGTGTCTGGAACCTCACTTAAGTTCCATCAGTGAGATGGAAGAGAGATTTCTGGAGAGATTCTTATGCTCAGATGCTGTTTCTGTCTATTGAACATTATTTATTTGTATTGCAGGAGTGCCTACAACTACCAACCAGGGCCCCATTGTGATAGGCACTGTTCAAACCCATCAACTTTCCCATGATTCCTTTTTGTAAGGGTAAGGAGTTGTCCACTTCTAGCCCATTCTTTTCCCTCCTCAGTACTTCTCTACCTCAATAAAATAGACTGCATTTGTGGTAGTGTATATGTGTGGCTTGTAAAGTGCCTTGGGCGAAGACTTTTTATATAAATGTAAAATAGTATAAGCACAGTACTTGGTAAAACGCCTTTTAGTTCTATAAAATCGTGTTTTAAGTACTAGAAAGGCCATTAATACAGATTTAGCCAGGTGCCAAGAGAGAAATAACATTCATTAGGTGTTCAGATGCACCTTGAGTGCTTTTACCTGCCCTCAATGTAGCTGCAACCAAGTAAGAAAGACACTAACAGTGTCCCGCAAATTATAACGGATGGCCTCACGCAAGAAGTGTGCATGCAGTGATTTGAATGATGAGAGTGTTGGGAACACTGGGGCATGGCCACTAGGTAACTCGAGGGGATGGAAGACCACGAGTGTCGATGAAGCCCCCTCGCACTAGGCCCCGGTGTCCTTGGCCCCCCCCCCTCCTGCCTGGAGGCACTCGCAGCAGCTCTGCGTGCTAGGCCCAAGTGTCCTTGGCCCCCCCGCCTGGAGGCACACACAGCAGTTATGCTGAGAATCTGCAACAGTATGTTGCAGAGTCAGACTGCCTGAAACTAAGCAAGGCCAAACAGGGGAGATATGGAAGAACAATGCTGAATAAAGCAGCTTTATGTATAGTTTAACAAATGATACAGAGAATCAGGGAACTAGCTGGGAACTGGATTGGCTGGCTATATGGATACTTGGAGCAGCTTGCTATTGGATAAGTATGCTGGGGAAAAGGATGTATAAAAGCCTGTGTAACTTCCTGCTCTATTGTACAGGATTTGAGATTCAAATCTCCCTGTACCTTTTTGAAGCTTCAAATAAACTTTTCTGCTTCTCCACCCCGTTGTGATTATTGGGTGTAGCACACCGGGTAACGAACCAACTCAAGCTGTTGTTCAGCCTCTCGGCACTGGGTGCCGGCAACAGCTTTTGGCGTCCCTGGGTGGGCGACGAGGCTGCAATTTAGCCTTGCCCGGACCCCTCCTGGAGGTCGAGGATTGCGGCGAGAACCGACGCCCAGCGCGCACCGGTGAGTTCATCGGGGGCCTCGGAGGAGACGCGATTTGATCGACCCCAGAGGGCACAATGGTGCAACGCACTCATATAGTGGAGAAGCTGTTGTGGACGGCGGTGAAGAACCGGTCCCTTAGACGTGGGGGAGGAGCAGCTGCAGGCCATGGTGAAGAACCGGTCCCTTGGATAAGGTAGGAACCTTTTAAAATCCGGATTATATGCTCTGTTGGAACCTGGGGACGCCCAGAGTTACCCTGTAGGTATGGGACAGGGACAGAGCTCAGAGGTTAGGGCACGGTGTACGCCCCTAGAGTGCATTCTAGCAAACTGGAAGGTATTTGGTGCGGATCCAATGACTAAGAGCCAATTAAAACGATTCTGTACAGTTGACTGGCCTCAATATCAACTAGAGGACCAGGAGTGGTGGCCACCAGGAGGGTCAATTAATTACAACACGATCCTTCAGTTACTCCTGTTCTGTCAGAGAACAAGGAAATGGAATGAACATATGTATGCGCATTTGTTTCTGACTTTATGTACTCGACCAGATATTTTACAGCGCTGTAATCTGACTCCAACTGGTTTGGTAGCAGCTAATGTTAGTCCCCAGACCCCCACCCCCACTGTAATGGCAGAGCCGGTGTCCCCTTCGGCCCCTACACCCACACCTTGTAAGTCCCCAGTGGTTGGCCTATACCCCTTAATCACCGAAACTAAAGTCGCCCGGTCTGGATCAGACAGGCGTCCTGCCACAACTATGCAGGTTTATACTCATGTGCCCTTTAATCCTGTGGATTTGGCTGCTTTCAAAGCACAGGCAGGAGAGTTTTCCACCAACCCAAGCAGGTTTATTTCAGTCTTTGAGGGGTGCCTCAGTAGTCACAAGCCGATTGAGACGACTGTAATATCCTCCTGAGAACCCTGTTGTCTGAGGTGGAGAGGGATCAGGTTACAGCTAAGGCAAGGGGAGCGTCAGCTTTCAAGCGAAAGAAAGGAAGCTATCTGTCAAGTTTCTACCCCAAGTAACCGTAAGCGGCTCAGGGCATTTCTGGGTATGGCAGGCTTTTGCAGGATATGGATCCCAGAGTTTGGACTGTGGGCTAAACCCCTGTACGACTGTGTAAAAGGAGCAGATCATGACCCCTTCTATTGGACCCCAGAGGCTGACAGGGCATTTAAAATTCTGAAAAGAAAATTGATGGAAGCCCCGGCTCTGGGCTTGCCAGATCTCTCTAAGCCGTTTCAGTTGTATGTACATGAACGAAGGGGGGTGGCCCTAGGAGTGCTTACGCAGCTGTTATGAGCATGGAGACATCCCGTGGCTTATTTTTCTAAGCAATTGGATCAGGTTGCAAAGGGTTGGCCAGCATGTTTACGGGCGGTCGCAGCTACTGCCCTATTGCTTGAGGAAGCCGAAAAGCTAACATTGGGAGGGGTTATGCAAATCTATACTCCCCATATGGTCCGAGCCTTATTGGATGCAAAGGGAGGGCTTTGGCTCACCCAGGCTCGGATTGCTCGGTACCAGGCTAAGCTGTTAGAGAACTCTGAAGTCACCCTACAGCCTTGCCCCTCCCTTAACCCAGCCACTCTCTTGCCAGAAACAGAGGAACAGAAACATGACTGTTTAGAGATCATAGATGTCCAGTACTCCAGCCGTCCGGATTTAAAGGATGTACCTCTCCCAAATGCAGATTATGAGTGGTACACTGATGGTAGCAGTACTGTAATAGATGGGCAAAGGAGGGCGGGTTATGCTGTTGTGACCCTCCATGACACTGTGGAAGCTGAAGGTTTGCCTGCTGGGACCTCTGCCCAGCTTGCTGAACTAATAGCCCTGACTCGTGCACTTGAACTATCAAAAGGAAAGCGGGTCAACATTTTTACTGATTCAAAGTATGCTTTTGGTGTGCTGCATGCTCATGCTGGCCTATGGAAGCAAAGGGGAATGCTGACAGCCCAAGGCTCCCCAGTCAAGTACGGGCCCCAAATCCTCCGGCTCCTAGAAGCCATACAACTCCCCTCGGAAGTGGCGGTGGTACACTGTAAAGCCCATCAAAGGGAGGATCAAGATGTGGCCAGAGGTAACGCCCGGGCAGATAGAGAGGCTAAGCATGCTGCCACCCTGCCATCCCCTCAGGCTGAGAACGCCCATATGCATGCCCTTATCCCATCAGTAGGGGAGCTTCCAACCCCTCAGTACTCTGGGGAGGAGAGACAGCTAACTGACAAACTCTGTCTCCGGGAAAAGGAGGGATGGCTCCATTCCCCAGAAGGGAAGGTCTTCTTACCAAAGGGCCTAATCCGGCCAGTGCTGCAGAAACAACATCAAACCACTCATGCTGGCAGGGAAACACTTATCCAGCTAATGGGAAAATACTTTATCACTTCCGGACTCCGACCCCTGGCTGCCCAGGTACAAGCGGACTGCTTAGTCTGCCAAAAGAATAACCCCCGACCGGGACATCCTGTGCCACCAGCTGCCCTAGAACCCACTCCGGGCCCCAGACAAGTGTGGCAAATAGACTTTACTGAGTTTCCCCAGACCCAAGGGTTCAAATATCTCCTTGTTATAGTGGATCGGTTCAGCGGATGGCCAGAAGCCTTCCCATGCCGTAACTGCACTGCCAGGACAGTGGCCCTCAAGGTTGTTAAGGAGCTCATTCCTCGCTTTGGACTCCCCCTGTGGATGGAATCTGACAATGGGACACACTTCACGTCAAAAATCATTCAAAGCATCTCACATGCCTTACAGATCCCCTGGAATCTCCATACGCCCTGGAGACCGCAAGCCAGTGGGGTAGTGGAGAGTACCAATCAGACCCTTAAACGGCATC